TTTGTTCTTAAGGGACTGTAAGTGCTGAGACCAGCTTCTACAAATCCAGATTGTATTCTGGCTAGAGGAGAGCTGGCAATGGGAGCTCCTCATCCTCCAAGTGATGGATCACAGCTCCATAGATGGTGGTATGCTGTCAACCACTCCTCCAAGACTCCTAGCCTCTTGGGTCCCACCCTCCTCTGGGTCCTGAAGGCACATAAACAAGCCCTGTTTTTTATCAGGCCCTCTGAGATACAGCCCCGGGTTCAAGGAAGATATCACACTTTGATTTTCTTAATGCCAAAAGAGCCCAGGCCCAATCCTGGAATTCTTCCCGAGGGCCACCTCCCTGACCCAGAGCTCAGGTGTCCCAAGGGCACTGAAGGCTCTGTGCATTCTTGGCAGCACAGCCCCACTGAACCGAAGAGGGAGCCACCTCCTGCGGGCTCTGGAATTTCAGAGCTCTGTTCATAAAAGACTTTACAGCAATCCTGAGGTCTCTGCCTGGCTGCTGCCTGGTCCCTGCCCTATTGTGCTTACCCAGAGCTGTCACTACCTCCTAAACAGCTCTCTCCCTCTCCCTTTAATCACTTATTTAACATGTGCACCAGCCCTTGAAGAAAAACTAGCTATTTGCTCTTTCTTACTTCCTGTGAGAAAGGGTGGGGACCACGGGCTGGCTGCTCTTTGGCAGTTGCTATGATTTAGTGTGGGAGTTAGGCCTTCTGCAGGCAGGGGAGTGAGCTGTGCAGTCTTTGGAATGCTAGTGTAGGCCATGCCTCCAGAAGGGCTTGCTGATAAAGGAAAGTGGTGGGAAGCACGTCGTGCATGTGTGTGTGGTGTACAGAGTACACCTGTAATGAGAGTGTGATGTAAGGTAAGTGGTGTGTGTGTGTGTGTGTGTGTGTGTGTGTGTGTGTGTGTGTGTGTGTGTGTGGGGGTTGTATTATGTGCCCCCTCACCCCTTCCCTTTCAGAGATGGTCTTCTGTGTTTCCAGTGGTCTTCAACAAGTGCAGAGAGTAGAATGTTCCCTCCAGTGATTGTCATCACCTCTCCTTGGGTGCAGGAGACAAACTCTTGTTGGGTACAGCAGGCTTCTTTTATGGCTCCCTATGAAGTCCAGTCCGGGATGCTGAGGCTATGAGTCTGCAGGGGCGGGTCTCAAGCCAAGCCCAGAGAAGATAATCTCCACCTTGGTACCATCTCAGATCAAGGCAAGGAGAGTCCTGGCGTTGAGCTGGACCTGTGCACTGCCTCGTGTGTGCAAGACCTTTGAGCCTTGGGTCATGTGAGCCGTCAGGCCTATCCCAGAGCAAAGTCAAGGAGAGCACAGTTATAAAAGACAGTCTTGATGACTGCTCTGAGTAGGTATTTCTTTTCTCTTCTTGATTTAGAGGCAGAGACCTAGAAGGGTTATGAGTATAAACCCTGGACCTTGCCAGTCTAGAACCAAACAGTTCTGTCACACACTACATAGAGTCCTTAAGCGATTTATTTAACCTTTCTGTGCCTTGCAATTTATCTACAAAGTGCAGTAGAAGCACACACACACACACACACACACACACACACACACACACACTGTGGGACTGCTGTGAGACTCAGGGGGTTCGGTAAAGAATTTAAAACCTCAATGGCTATTAACCATCACTGTTGGGGACTATAAATCAGAATCCCATAGTCCACCAATGACCTATTAGAGCATGCATTTTAATCCTCTGAAACCCTGAGGGCAAAGTTCATCCATGGATTTTCGTATGCAGTGGAAAGGAAGTAAGACCAGCACACATCTTACTTCCGGCTGTTGCAGATACCTTTTCAGATGATGTGGCGATGTGGCACAGCTGTGGCTCTACTCCAGGAAGCACACACACTGCCTGAGGGAAAGCCACTGACCCAATGGACTGGCCTGTGAGCCTGCATGCCTTCCTTATGTGGGGTGCTGGGGATGGAGCCCAGGGCTTCATTCATTAGCTGGGGAAGTCGTCTGACACCACAATAGACCCAGAACCTAAAATTTTCTACTTTGAAAATTCATTTCATGAGCCTAAAACTAAGAGCATATCCACATTCTGAATTGATAGCTGAGAAGTTTCTACTGATGTTTCTACCTAAATACGTGGCTTCATGAAGACAGGGCAAGACAGGACCCTAAATTAAGTCTGTGGAGATTTGCTTCTTGGAATATCCTTAATTCCAATCACCACACTGCTTTCAGAGCCCCAAATCTATTAAAGAAATCCATTAAAAAATCGGAACACACAATATTATATTAAACATCTGTTCATTCATCTAGACAATTATTTGTTAACACATCATATGTCAAATATTACATTAGCAGATACTAAGGTTGTAAGGATTCATAGATATAGTACAGAGATTAATAATAATATATACCATTTTATTTTATGATAAAAAGTCAATACAAGTGGACCCAGGAAATGGTTCAGTGGGTGAAGATGCCAAACCCTGATGACCTGGGCTCTACATGGCAGAAGGCAAGAAGAGACTTCTGCAAGTTGTCCTCTGGCCTACATACATGTGCACACATAAAATAAGTAAATAAGTTGAATGTAATTAAAAAGCAGCGAAAGAAGAAATGCATTAGTGGCAGCAGGGAGACATAGCCCAGCACAGACACCACAGGGACCTCCCTCCACTCAGGAAGAGACAGAGAATGTATTAAGTGTTTAGACAGAGTAACACATAGGGAAAGATAATACACAACCCAACTGATAATACACCCAACTGAAATGGGTGTAGGTTTCTAGAGAGTCAAGCTTAGGTGTCTTTATAGTGGCCATATATAATTGTGCCATTTCATTCATTCTTTTTTTAAATAATTTATTTTTATTTTATGCACATTGGTGTTTAGCCTGTGTGAGGGTACCAAATCCCCTGGAACTGGAGTTATAGACAGTGGGTGCTAGGAATTGAACCTGGGTCCTCTGGAAGAGCAGTACTCTCAACCTCTGTGCCATCTCTCCAGCCCCTCATTCTCTCTTTAAATTGAAATTTCTATTAGGTATTTAGTTACACTTATGTATGCATGTATGTATGTATTTGAATGTATGTCTGTGAACACGCATGTCATATGTGAGGTCAGAGGACAACTTGCAGAGTACAGTTTCCTCCTTCCACCCTACACATGGGTCTTGGGGATGAGCCCAGGTCTATGGACTTAGCAACAGGAGCCAGTATCTACTGACCCATCCTGCCTGATCCTGTGGCTTTCACCGTTACATTCCTCAAAGGATGCAATTTGCAAGGTTTAAAAATTAAGCAAAGCTTAAAGTTTAAAGAATAAGTAAAAATACAGGAGTTGGCTTAAATCTGTTTCTTCCATTATTTTCCTTCTGTATAAGAAACTGTAAGGTGGTTTTGGTAAGGAGTACTATTTATGTTTAGAGTTGAGAGAAGAGTACAAATCAGGAAAATTCAGGGCCACAAACATTCTCCCTCTGCATAGACATGGCTCCGTTGTCTTTAACAGACCTGTTAGAGGTGTGTTAGGCAAACACATGCTATCTCTGGAAGTGAGTCTTCCTTAGGGTTTCTATTGCTGTGATGAAACACCTTGGCCAAAAGCAACCTGGGATTTGCTTCATCTGACAGTTCATAGGTCCATTATCAAGAAGGGAGGAGCTGATGCAGAGGCTAGGGAGGAGTACTGTTGACTGGCTTGCTCAACCTGCTTTCTTATAGCACCCAGGACCACCAGACTGAGGTGGCACCACACACAGTGAGCTGGGCCCTCCCACATCAATCATTAATCAAGAAAATGCTCCGAAGATTGCCCTTAGGCCAATCTGGTGGTGGGGGCAATTCTCAGCTGAGGTTCTCTCTTGACTCTGGCTCATGAGGAGTTGACAGAAAACTAGCCAACACAAGGCAATTCGACTTTGTAAATTACGTTGACGTTTCTTGGCTAGCAGTCATTAGGACAGGCTGACTCAATCCCACAGTGAGGAGTGAGGGGCTTCATTGCCTTCTCATGTGCCCCCCCCCACTTCCAATGCTGAGAGGCTCAAAAGCAAGCTTGGAGACAATCTATGCCATGCAGGCCACAGCCAGACATGACAAACAAGAGGAAGAGGCAGTCTGTCCCCTCAGGCAAATGATTTCTATGGTGGTGGTATAAAACAAACAAGAATTCAAGAATAGACTAGCACTCTCTCACACAAACCCTGTTTACTATACTATCACAAATTGGCGTAAACTGCATGTACTGCTTGTACCAAGAAAACGCACTGCTCTCATTAAACCAAAAAAAAAAAAAAAAAAAAGCACTCTAGTTCTTGAGAGGAAAGGAATTGTTTTCACATAAAAACTATCGCCTAGCAACCAAACAGGGAGTCATCACACCTTGTCTCCAGCAGTAGACGCACAGCCCCACCCTCTTGCAGGCTCATTCCTGTTAATTCACAAATAGGAAGGAAGATCTTTTAATAGGATCTGTGGTTGCTGTTCCTGGACTTTACGTTTCCAGTTTAAAACACCAAGCAGTGTGATGTCCTGCCAGCTCCTCCTCATGCAGTCCCATCACGCCTCGGGAAGAGCCAGGGCACAGCAAGACCGGAGGGAGGACCTTTGGGCTGGATTCCTTTTTCTGTCTTTTTCCTGCTCTCAAAGCCTGGTGGTGGTGGTGTCACTGTTTGCTCTTCAGCCTGGGGGCACGGGGATCCTTTCTCTGGCTTCCTTGCTTGGAATGGAGGCCCACACTAATAGCGCTACTTTTCAGAGTCGAAGCCCAAGTCCCTTTCCGTGCCACATTCATCTCGCTGCCTGGTACCAGGTCTACATGAGTGACCCACCTCCCTTTCAAATGTGATGTGTAACAACCATTGGACACAATGTTTGGAAGCGAGTTGCTAACCAACATTCTATAGAACACAGTGATCCATCGATGTGACTCACAGACAAGTCACTTCACCCCCATGGACCTCACACTGGGTGTGCCATTTGCTCTAGGTTGACTCAGGGCTTAACCCTTCCACATCTGGGAAATTCCACTCACCTTCTTTTTTCCACGAAGTCTCACACACGTCTGAGTGGCTCCGAGGACATCTGTAGGAGGCAGAAACTGCCAGCCAGGAAGGGTGGAAGTGCATGGCTTACGGTTATTCCTCCACAGTTTTCGGCTGTTGGTAGGGACTACAAAGGAGGGGGAATGCAAACTTCAGTCCTTCAGCAATTAGACCCAGCAATTAAACACTAAAGAAAGTGTGACTTTCAATCTAGCCATGTAGGCAGTTTTAGATTCAAGAAGAGTTCAGTATTCCCTGAGATTAAATGAGTCATCCCACCCATGAGCCTGCAGAATGTGAGTGTGCATGTGAGCATGCATGCCTATGTATGAGCATGCAGAGACCATAAGAAGACATTAGATGTCTGCCTCCATTGTTCTTCACCTCATTGCCTTGAGACAGGGACTCTCACTGGACCAGAAGCTAGCTACCTTGGCTAGGTTGGCTGGCCAGTAACCTCCAGAGGTCTGTCTGGGTTAATAGGTGCCCACAGCCAGGTTCAGATTTTTTTTTTAATAGAATTTGAACCCAGGTCCTCACAGTTGCAAAGCAAGTACTTTTATCCACTGAGTCACCTTCTCAGCCACTATTAAGTTTGTTACTGTTGTCAGTTGTTTGTTTGAGATGGGCTGACCTAGATCAAACTCACAGAGATTTGCCTGCTCATGCCTCCTGAGTTCTGGGATTAAATGCATGTGCTGCTATGCCCAAGCCTGTTTTTAAAACAGACGCTAATTTGTGTTTTTTCTTTGTCAGCTTCGAAGGCTCCAAGGCCTGGACGTTAGTTGAAGTCATGTGGTCTGTACACCCCAGTCTATACCTATTCCATCGAGTGTGCATAAAGGTTCTCTCGTGTAAACAGACAGTAGCCTCAATATGAAGGCATCCAACCCTACTCACCAAAGACAGAGTGCCCAGCTCCTTTGTGATGTCAGGACATGTCATTTTCTTCCCATCTCAGGTCCTCTGTTTAAAATCAGGTTTGTTTATCTGTTTCTCTGAGACTGGGTTTCTCTGTATAGTCCTGGCTGTTCTGCAGCTTGCTGCATAGACTAGGCTGGCCCAAAATTCACAGAGATCCTCCTGCTTCTGCCTTCTGAGTGCTGGAATTCAAAGTATGTGCTACCACAGTCATAAATAACTCCAAACATTTTTTTGGTTGGGGGACACAGCTCAACCCATAAATAGGTTTGGATAGATTATCTAATTTGGTTAAGCCTTTGCCAGAAAGTGAGTCAGCCTTTGAAAAGATTGGGGGGGGGGTCGTCTCTGGTCTCTCCACTTTCCGGAGTGTCTGAAACAGGGAGCTAACAGGTAACTTTTTTTTTTTTTTTCCCGAGACAGGGTTTCTCTGTGTAGTTCTGGCTGTCCTGGAACTCATTCTGCAGACCAGGCTGGCCTTGAACTCATAGAGATCCGCCTGCCTCTGCCTTCTGAGTGCTGGGATTAAAGGCATATGCCACCAACGCCTGGCAACAGGTAACATTTTAATTAACTAGATCCGTCTAGTACCCACTTGCTGTCACCAGCATGCATAGCTCCTCCCTGCCCCTCTCAAGAGATGAACTGTGCCCCCCCGACCCCAATAGGCATATGTTAAAAGTCCCACTACTAGTCACTTCTAAATGTGTCCTGTTTGGAGACAGGGTCTTTATAGAGCTCATCGAGTTCAAAACGAGGTCATAAGGGCAACTCGAATCCAATATAGCTGGTGCCACAGAAGGATAATTTTGGATCTGGAGTCACACACACAGAAAGGGAATGTGAGACACAGGAGAAGATGGCCATCCCCAAGGAAAAGAGAGGGGCTTGGGAAAGACCCTTCCCTCAGGAAGAAGCATGCTGTCTGTCTGGGACTCTAGAATGGTGACGAAACAAATCTCTTTTATTTCAGCTAGCTAGCCTGTGGTACTTTGTCACAGCAGAGCCAGTAAATGAACACCCCACGAATCCTTTCTTTGTTTGGATTCATCTATTCAATGTCTGTGGTATGCTACATCTGAGGATACAGAGGGGAAAAATGTCACCCTATCCTTAGGAAGACTGGACAGATACTGATCCTCCAGGCAAGAGTTACAGCATTTGAAAGAAGTACAGTATCAGTGAATGTGGGCAGGGCCAATCTAGATATGGGTGTCACTCTAGAAACAAGTTTTTCTGTTTTTAATTTAAAAGTATGTCTTTATTTGGAGAGAGGATTTCCAGGTGTCACAGTGCGTGTGTGGATGACAGAGGACAGTTGTGGAAGCCAGGTCTCTCATTCCTACCATGTGGGTCTGAGAGACTGGATTCGGGTCATTATTGGGCTTGTTGTCGCTGCTGTTCCTTGTATTGTTGTTTATTATTGGGTTTTTGAGACACAATTTCTCTGTGTAGCCCTGGCCATCCTAGAACTCTCCGTAGACCAGGCTGGCCTCAGGGATCCTCCTGTCTGTGCCTCCTGTGTACCGCCATACCTGACCGGAGTTGTTTATTACTATGAAGTTCTCTCTGTGAAAATGAAATTTCTTCTCTCACCACCTGGATATCTCCTGAATACCCACCCGGTTTACTACAAAATCTGTTACAGTTTTAGAGAGCTTTTCAAGAAACTCAGCCCTGTCTTTCAGACAACCAGACCGCAGTTGACTGGAGACAAACAACCACGTTACAGTGCTGACCTAAGGATTTTCAAAACCTTAGTGTTTACATTTTAAATTCATTGCATACTGAATGGTTCTGTTCTAGTGTTGTTTCTGTTGCTGTGATAAATAAAACGCTCTGAGTTTTCAAAGCAACTTAGGAAAAGCAAAGTGTTTATTTGGCTTACTCTTGGAGGGGGGCACAGTCCATCACTGACGGAAGTTGGGGCCAGAATTCGAGAACAAACCTGAAGGCAGAAGCTATGGAAGAATGCTGGCTGCTGGCTGGGTACTTCCGCATCAATTAACAGTCAAGAACCCCACCGCCACCCCAATACATCTATTCACAGGCTAACCTGAGACAGAAAATTCTTCAGTTGAGGCTCCCTGCTCAGGTTATACCATCGCCAGCTTTGACGAAACTCCAGGGCAAAGGTGCACCTCCCTACAAGGTCTGTAAATGACCTGCCAAATGTTTCGTGGGCTGTGCTTGAGGATAAGGAGAATCATGAGTCCAGAGGCCCAGGCCTAGGAGAGTTTGCAATCTACCAGGGCACACGCAGAAGTGTAAACAAATGCTACCGGCAGCAAGATAAGTAGGCAGGAGCAGAGGAACATGCAGAATGCCATCAGTTGCACACAACCAGTGGGATTAGAAGGCTCACTCAGCTACCCCAACCCCCACCTCCCTGCAGGGGCAACAGCTGGAGAAGGAAATGGAGAGAGACTTCATTTACCCATTGTCCACCAGCTGAACAATTAGTTTGATGTTGGCCTTGCTGACCTTTGAGGAAGACATGAGTTGTCAGCCCCCCAGGCACTGCCAGCTCTGGGGCAAATGGCACCCCTGGTCTTCTCATGCCCTAGTACTTGCCCCTCTTCTGTCCACCAGTGTCTCCCCCAGGGTATAACTCTACATTCACTTTCTCGGTGGTCTTCTGGCATTGGTTCCCCAGGAAAGATGGGCTGGAGTTCCCTAACTTCTGACTTGATTGAATCCGCCATGATTTCTAACTTTCTCAAAAACTACAAAACGAAACAAAAACAAAACTTTTTTTTTTTTTTTTTTATTGAGAGTTTGTAGGGAGTAAGGCAATTAGAAAACTGTGATAAAAAGCTTGACTTTCCCCTTAGGTTTTGGTCCATATAATGAAGTTTTCTAGAAAATCTAGAAAACCAGGCATGATGGCACATACCTGTAACCCCGGTACACGGGAAGTACAGGCAAGAGGACCAGGAGTTCAAAGCCATCCTTGGCTACGTAGCAGATTAGAGGCCAACCTGAGGAGATACATGAGACCCTGTCAAAAGGAGGAAAATAAAAGAGTAGAATTATGCCTTAAGTTAACACCACCACCATCAACAGCAAATGTCAATTCTGAAAGAAGCAGCTGTGCAGGTGACCAGCAAGTGGGACAGGAGCCTCTGTGGTCACAAAGTCCATTTCCTTAGATCACAGCAGTGACTCCTCAGTCAGTCATCTCTTGAGTTATAGAAAAGCCAATTTGTCATTCATTCACTCATTCCAGCGATGCTCATTGAATGTTTTCTGTTTGGCAGGTACTGACTGGGGCCCTAGAGCAGTGGCCGAGAATGCAGCAGGCAGGGTGCCTACTTTAATGGGGGGTGCATTCTAGAAAACAACACAGAGCATGGACATGCTAGCAATTCTATGCTCCTTAAGTCTGAAGGCACTGAAGCAGAGAAGGGGTTGGAGCTGGTGGGAGTTGTTCTATTGGAACAAGCAGGAGCTTTCTCATCGATCTTTATCAAGCCAAGGACAAATATCATTTCATCTTAGAAGGCACCGACTATTTCCCAGCTTTGGAGTGGCAGCTACACAAGTTCAACATGGATCTGTCAGTGCAGAAAAGTTTTGGATTATTTTTTAATACCTCATACTTCCTAGCATCCAGTGTGTGTGTGTGTGTGGGGAGGGGTAGGGTAGAGATCAAATGTAGATCTACCCAAGGGAATAATATTTGCTGGATGGTTCCCTGGGAAGATTGCTTAGAAACAGACAAAGTTACTATGCCTGGGCCATTTGCCTGGTGCCCTTTGCCTCTGCTGGCCCTAAATGCAGAAATGACACCAGGGTCACAGCATTTCTCTTGTGTAAACAGCAGTGCATGCCTCAACATTTCTATGATGATCCAAATTTACATCCAGGTTACAACTGGCTACAGTGAGCTATAATTAGCTGAGTTTTTAAAAATTAAAATATAATTATATTATTTTGCCTTTCCTTTTCCTCTCCCCAACCCTCCTGTGTACCTCCCCACTTGCTCTCTTTCAAATCTGTGGCCTCTTTTTTTTTAAATTTTAAAAAAATTTTTTGTAATTATTTTTTTTTTAGTTCAAATTAGGAACAAGTTTGCTTCACATGTCAATCCCTTCTCCTTCCCCTCCCCCAACCCCCCACCCTATCCACCCTCCACTCCCTAGGCAGGACAGGGCCCTCAACAGGGCTCCCCAAAGTCCACCACATCATCCTGGGCCGGTCCTAGGCCCTCCCCCATGTGTCCAGGTCAAGATTGCATCCCTTCATGTGGGATGGGCTCTCAAAGTCCCTTCTTACACCAGAGAAAAATACTAATCCACTACCAGGGGCCCCCTAGAGTGCAGAGG